GATCGGGGTTAGGTAGTCGCGGAGGAAGTAGATGGCCAGGCCGTCGGCCACACCGACAACTAGGAAGATCAGAGAGTACATGGCGGCCGCGCGCTGGGCGCGTAGGACAAGCCCGGCGCCGAGGAAGAAGCCGATCCGGGTACTCACAGCGACGCTGATGGAGAAGGGGATGTGCCAGGTGATGACGGAGATGGTGCTGAGGATGGTCTGCGCGGCGAGGTGGTCCGTGTCGATGTAGGTGGTGCTGACCATGAGGATCTCGAAGGCGCCCCATTCGGCCAGGTTCACGGCCGTGCCCGCCACGGAGAGGCTGAGGAGATGGCCCCAGCCGTTGAGGGCGTCGCGGGACCAGCCGCCCCAGCACTTGAGGGACCAGGGGGCCAAGAAGACGATGTAGCCGAGGAGGAGCAGCGGGCGCAGGTTGTTGGCGATGGCCTGGGCAAGGGCGGCGCCGGGAAGACCGAGGTCGAGCACCATGGTGAAGTACCAGGTCAGCAGAGCGTTGATCGGAGTGGTGATGACGAGCACGGCGGTACCTGAGCTGAAGTCACCCTGAGCCTGCAAAAACCGCTTTCCGGCTTCGAAGAAGGCGTACCCTGGAAGACCGATGAGGGAGACCTGAAGGAAAACGCCAGCCTGAACAGCGAGCTCGTGCTGCTTGATGACCAAGGGGAGGATCAAGGGAGAAAATACCCAGAAGACGCCAATTGGGATCATGGCCAGAGTCATCAATGCAAGCATACGTTGAACATGCAGACCAACGTGTGTCACCTGTCCAGAGCCGTAAGCTTGGGCACACACCGTGTCTAGAGCGGTGGCCATCCCCTCGACGAGTGCGTACCCGATGATGTTCATGGTCGTCAAGCCAATGCTGGCGGCTCCGAGGTCATTGGAGGTTAGGTGCCCGGCGGCAATAGTGGTGATCAAGGTGGCAGAATACTGGAGGAGATAAGTGATGATCAAGGGGAAGGACTGTTGGCAGATGAGCACACACTCTGAGAACAGGCCGCCATCGGTAAGGAGTTCGAGCGCCAATTCATCGCTGGACGCCGATTCAGCTTCGCCCAGTAGAGGGGACGATTCATTCGGAGGCAGAAGCGCCTCTTCCGAGTGTCTTCCTGTAGCAGAACCCATTTTGTCGTTGTCTGCAGGCGATGTTGAACAAAGCATGAGCTGAGATTTCGCTTCAGTTCCGGCTTGTGGAGAATCACGACAGTCCCGAAGTTCAGCGAATGACTAATCACCAATCTCTCTCACAAAGACCTCACCCTCACTTGTTTGTTAGCGTATTATCAGAAGAGCCTCACTTTCTCCAAGATGCAGGTATTCGTAATCGATACTCATTAACATACTTTTAACTGATTATACTCATTCTAATCAAAATTGTCGCACGCTCCAAGTCATCACTGCAAACACAAAGGACTGGTCTATTGATCACCCCGTCTCCTCGCTCTCAATGCCATTCTCCCGTCTCAACAATGTGCTTCTGGCACTTGGCTAGCACAGCAGCCTGGCGTGACACCTCGGCCAGCCTCCCGATCACCTGCCCGTTGCAACCAGCGAACCCGTACAGGGCGTAGGGGATCCCAACATCGTTGCAAAACTCCTGGACGAGCTTCTGTGTCTGGCGGAGGTTGTGGCGCGGCACACGGGGGAACAGGTGGTGGATGACCTGAAACTGGAGACCGCCGTGCATAAAGTCGAGCCATGGGGGACAGTCGACGTCCATGGTGGTCCTCAATTGCCTTTGTGGGAATGACTCCTCGGGCCCCAGGTCTGCAGTGCTCATGGCAAAGTGAGACTGCACAATCTGGAGGTGAACTGGCGAGGAAACAAGCTGGCTGATCATGAAGAACCCGAATCGGCTCCAGCCATCTGGAATACATCTGTAGATGATCCCGTATCCATACCAAGTCCAGAAGAAGCACTGTCCGACCATCTCCAAATACCGATGCCACGCCCCAGGACCCTTCTTCGGTCCACGGCCCATAATGAGGTAATCCCAGGACTGGACGTACAGGTTGAACCGAGCCAAGGAAAGGATCGGATAATATGTATACGGCTGAATCCTCAGCATCATCTTGGCTACGACATCATATTTCATGATGCGCTCATGGTATGTGGAGCGCAGATTGGAGAGGAACCGGTGGGAGATGGCGAAGAAGGGCAGATGCTCAATGTCGGGGTCATGCTCGGGGGCATTGGTGACGATGTGATGAACATTATGGCTCCACTTCCACCAACCGAGAGACAGGCCACCCACGAAATCGGCAATGAAGATACCAATCATGCAGTCCAGCTGGTAGTTGTGTGTAATGCCCATGTGCCCGGCGTCATGAGCTGTAAACACAAGCTGATGCCACATCAAGCCGAGGCAGACGGCAGCCACCAGGGGATACCCATATTTGAGGAAGACAAGCATGCCCGTGAAGAGGGACACGTATCGAATACACTCGACGCCATAAGCCCAGTAATTGCACTTGTAAAGCCCGGCATCCTTGATCCTCTGGTGTAGCTCCCGATACTTGACAATGATGCTGGCCTGGGTTTCGGTGTCCGGGGATGGGTACTTGTCCAGGTCGAGGGTAATGTGCTCGTGGGTCAGAGTATCAAGGAACGACATGCCATCCATTTGTGGTTCTTGCGATGAGTCTTCTTTCGTAGCTGGTTGGGAAGCCTGCGCGGAGTCGGTGGTCTTCTCGGCATTGTGGCGATGCCGCAAACCATAATCTTCCGTGTCGAACGTGGGAGAGGGTGAGCGCGAGGCCGGGGAGCTGGGCGAACTCGATGAATCCTGTCCTTTGGTACTTCCGCTCTCTACCGACAAAGTCTCCTCTTCGATCTCAGCTTTCGTCCTGAAGTGCCCGCCCTGAATTGGGGGGACGAAGTTCTTCCATTGGAAATCGATTCGGCCGATTCGGTATCGCAGCATTTGTTCGGCGGCTTCTTTTGAATGTAAACTGCGCGAACCATGGTTAGCAGGCATTGTTACGTATCTAACAGTGTCCATGTGAGGCGCTCAGGGCAATTGCGTACACAGTAACCTCGTCGGTCGCATCTCTGCCGACCATGTGCAGGATTGCCTTGTCGCCACCTGGGTGGTATGGGATCCAAACGTCAACTCTCAGGACCTCCTGGTTGACAATCATGAGCTTCTTCCCGTCGGCAATCATGGCCTCAATGTCGTCGCGGGACATGAGCGGCAAGGTCCTGGGCTTGGCCGAGCCCGTCGGCGTCTTGGTCGCCATGACTGGAGGTTGTTGAGGTTCGCAATTGCAGACGTATTTGGGGAGAGAGACTCGTCAGCAGCACCCGAGGGTATTTCTCGATGGTCCGAAGTCTGGAAACCAAGCTCGCGAGCTGTCGAGATGGGGCGCTGTGCGGTCGAGGCAGTCGAGGGGCGCCGAGATGGTTGAGGAGGGGTCTGTTGGGGAAGACGGTGAAGCAGGCCAGGTTTTATGGCCTCGGCTGCCCACTACTTTTTAGGTGCGGGAGCTGGTGCCAGAGTCGCCTAAAGGATTGGCTGGTGGCTGCTGCCCCACCCCGGTTTCAGGGGTACGTGTGCCGTGGTGGGCCCTGAGGCATTGCACTGTATGTACGGACTCCGTGCTGGAATGCTTGCTGCCAAGTGGCTGGCCCCCTCCAGCATCTCTAGCCTGCAGCCTAAGCAGATGAAAGTTAAGGGTGTGGTCCTTGAGCCTCATGAGGGTCGAGTGTAACATTTATTGTGGCGTCTTTCAGAAAATGTTAATTTCTTAGCACTGTACAAGTCCGTTCTCCTCATCGCAACACGGCTCTTCAGATCGCAAGACATTCACAGTTAGATAAGCGGCTTCGATTGTTGAAGCCCCCTGAAAGTGGGTGGATCCATCAAGGCAACTTGCCTCGCCCCTCATTGATCAGTGAACGATTGAGTCCCCCACGAAAAGAAGGCCCATGTCGCCCTGATATGAGGAGCTGCCATGGGTGTCAAATAACAGGGACTGGAAAGGTGTTTTCATCCCAACTTACCAATATAGGCCACAACATTGATAGACGATAGTTCGTAATAATTGAGAAGAATTAATCATTGAGAAATTATAAGAGAATATTATCTGCTCACTATTACAAAGGGGAAGCATTCTGATGCGACTGTCCGCCACAATAAGTCTGTCGAGGTGACTTGGCAGTCCCTGTTTGTCTGACAGCCACTTGCCTGCATCTCCCTCAACGTGATAATCCTAGGAACAATTCGAAATGAAACGTAACTTCCCAAGAAGTCGGCTACTGTACCCTTAGAAATTAACTGTCCAGAGCAGGGGGCTGCGGGCTACGGTACAACCATTATACCGCTTCGATGATCGCTACCTAACTCCTAGCTGCTTAACGTCCGATGATACTCAAAGTCGATGCCTTCTAGGCTGTCACTCCTAACGGGACCCCTAATGCGGAAAGTCAATTCGCAAGGAGTGACTTGGTCGCCAAGTTGCGGTGACACCTAATGACACCGGAACCGAAGTGTCGTTTTTCCCCGAGACTGATAAACTCAATGTGCATCGGAAGCAGGGAGTTTCAGACCGCCTAGAACATATGTGGCTCTATTCGTAGCGAACTTCCAAGAAAGACGTCTTTCATGGAGCAAGAAAACGCGTACCATTCGCTTAGCCGTCGGGTCACGATGAACTTTCCATGGAGAGTTGGAGGAATTCGTTTACATGCATTTGAACGCAGGTGCATTTTTTCCAGCTATGGAAACTTCTCCCGAAGTGAGTCGCTGAGACCAGCAAGTTTCGGTCCAATAGAAACTATCAACGGGTAATTCCGAAAGTAAGGATCAGAGTTCATGGTTGCAACTGAATGTCTTGAATGAATCTCTCAACCCTGCTTCTTTTCTCATTCCATCACGCGAGATTTGGATAGATGAGGATCGAGGCATCACCAGTACTATGTACTAGACAGTAACCGAGCAAAGAGCCGTCGCAACATCATTGTGCTCAGGAGAAAGTAGCCCCTGCTCTTCCTCAGTCACTGCCAGGAAGCTTTACTTGCACCAGCATATACGCCAAATTCCTCGCCATTTCCTTCATAGATTCGCTTGTCTCGTCGCTATTATATTTCTCCGGGTCCGTTTCCCACAAAATTTCATGAACACGTACTGGCTTGTCCGGTAGTGGCTCGCCATCCTCGTTTAATTCGGCCTGGACCCTGATAGCGATAACCGTGAATGATGTCCAGGACCGGGTGAAATGCACAAGATATTCTCCTTCACTATTAGGCCCATATGTTTCGCACAGCCATTTGTCGTCCATGTCCATCGGTCTGCTGCCTTCGAGAAACTTCTGCAGGTCCTCGTGGGAGATGGTCACATCCCATGGAGCTTGCGCCGGCTTTGAGATGGGCTGTGCGATGGCACGCTCGATTACGGCATCGTCAGAGTCGTGCTCATCTGTAGAAATATCAAGAGACTCCTGGGATGACCTCATGGTTGTTGAGTTTTGATCGACCAATTGGCCTGGAGTGGGTGCTTGGAGGCTGAGCGGGGGAGAAGAATAAGCTGAGCTGACCGGCATTAATTGATGCATTTGACGGCGGTTTATTACTAATTACGGCAGCTTCAATGTGGATCTACTCAGTGCCAACAATTTACTAACTATTTCTTGAATAATTTAACATGTATTTTTTTTTACTAGAGAACTTCAGCTGTCTGGTTCGACAACCACCAAACATACTGAATCTGCGGAAGCTGACGTCTACTTGGCCATCCAACCTCCATCAACCTACAATTACGTTCATTAGCCATAGAGAGACTAGTAAAACCATGACCATGTCCACTTACCAATAAAATTTCTCCCGTCACATATGAGCTTGCCTCGGAAGCAAGGAAGATAGCTGGTCCTTTAAAGTCATCCGGCTTTCCCCAAAATCCCATTGGAATAGTTTTCGCCGCAGCTTCAGAATACGATGGATCTGACCGAGTGTCTGTGTTCATGTCCGTAGCAACATATCTGCATTCCATCTTTAGCATATCGTGGTCGGGTTCTCCGTGAGTTGGTGTCACTCACCCAGGGGCAATAGCGTTGACTCGGATTCCCAATGGGGCCCATTCATTGCTCATCGCCCTCGTCAGCTGCGCAACAGCACCCTTGGTAGCCGAGTAAACTGCCGCATTAATTCCGCCCCGGAAAGAATTGATGCTGGCTGTGTTGATGAGACGCCCCTTAATCTTGTTGTTGATCCAGTATTTCCCCATGTCCCTCGAAATGATGAAGGTGGTGTTGAAGTTGACCTCCATCACAATGTCCAGCTCTGAGTCTGGATGATCTACCACATCATACCGGCGCATGATGCCAGCTACATTAGCAAGAATATCAACTTGGCTCTGAGAGGTGATCGTGTCCACAAGTCCAATGACATCCTTTCTGTCACTCAGATCTCCTTTGAAAACTTTGCAACTGCGTCCTAGGCTCTCCACAATGGACTTGGTTGCAGTGTCATTGGTATCTCGCTGCATGGAGAATGTTAGAGTCAGTATTTATCATGCTCATAGTAAGAAATGAATAGTATTCTACTTACTTGCACGAGGATTATATCTGCCCCAGCCTCAGCAAGACCAACTGCAATAGACTGGCCGATGCCTCTCGTGCCTCCGGTGACCAAGGCGGTTTTACCTGCAAGAGAAAATAGATTCATTATGAGACTGTAAATGTGGCTACAAAGATGGGGAAGGCTTTCTCAAATAGCTTTTCTTGCTTTGTCAACTACAGATGACTAGAGCGGTTATTTATACATAGGTAGGTAAGGTGTATAGTGATTGTCTGATCTAGACCCGCTCGGATAGATCCCGACTCGGAAAGCGATACCGACGAAATGAGGTAGACAGTTATTAATTCTACTAGCAAAACAAGAAAGTTATCCCGATTTAATTGATAATATGAGACATTCGAACTCGTTCATCTTTATTACAATACTCTTCTGTGGGGTGAAACAAAGCGTATTGACTTTCCGAAGTCTCGACCGATAGCAGCACGATCAGTAACGTAGGAGTCCGGTTCGGGTAGTCGTCATAAGCTTAGAGCTTTGATAGAAGCACCAGAAAGAGCAGCATTGAAGGATATTTGCAAAGATGGGAGAAATCTTTCCAGGCCTCAAAAACCTCACTTCCTCTCATCGTCAGGGATCACTAACATATGAGTAACCTGGAGGTTCTCTAGGTATCAAATTTGATGGGCTAGAGTGGTTCATGTTGAGCAACTAAAACAAGCCAACATCACAAAGCAGCCCAACTTCCCACCTTATGTAACCCTTCCTAGTCCAGCGAATACCATAACAAATCCTCAGTCGATCATAAGTAACTAAAAATACTCAGTCCTCCATGTCCTTTTTTTAGTGTGATTCTCGGATAGATGGGTCTGAATGCTTGCACAAAAGGTTTGTCCGCGGCTGTATCCTGAGTTATTCTAGTCCTAGCTCGGCTCATCTTTGTTCTTAAACAAAAAGATCTGGAGTTAAGGGGTTCTTGTTGCCCACACCCAGCGCAGACTCGCACAATAGGCCATTGTCCTGAAACACAAGTCCCTCAATCCGTATCGCTCCGCTCAGCCTATTTAAGTGAACAAGGGGCTCCTGAACTGTCTAAACCTCAAACTGTTGATTCCCTTCAATTATCAGCAACCGCAAAGCATTTGAAAATACAAGTCTCAAGATTAAAACGGAGATTGACGACCACCCTGACTCACAAGCCACCCGCTCAGCTTTCAGGTGCCGCTCAAGCCTTTCGCCTCATCTATAATGCCACCTTTCGCCCAGCCAGAGAAAATGCAAATTGATGGCGGGTTTGATGGCAATACCAAATGCCATATTCTTCGTCTTCCCACGGAGTTGTTCCAAAGAGTGATCGACTATTTGTCAGAAGATGGGATGGCGTCCACAAATAAAACCTTACTTTCCCTATGTCGCAGCTGCAAGACAATATCACCACAAGCGAAATACCGCCTCTACAAATGTGCTAGTACGGGAACGGAGCCACAGGCTTGCCTTGACTGGGCCCTCGATAGGGGTCGCGAAGAGACTGTGGAGTTGGTGATGAATTTCACTCCAGAAGTGTGCGAACTTGGTCACCTCAGCACGGCTATCAAGAAGAAAAAGTTCAACATTGCATGGATAATGTTGAAACAGAAAACTGTTCATACCAAGCTCAAGATCATGACACGAGACAGCCCTATCTTTGCAGCATTTCAAATTGGCCACACTGAGCTCGTTAACTACATGAGCGAAATTCAAGACTTGGACGTCTCGATGTTCGATAGAAACGACAAAACAGTGCTTCACTACGCATGCCAACACGGTTACTTGAATCTGGTAGAACGGTTTCTTAGCCAAAACGCAAATCCTTACGTTATTGCCGAATCTGAGCGCGCAATCACACCCATCATGTCAGCCATTACGTGCAACATTCCAAAGGCAAGATATGCTATCCTTGAGAAAATCTTAGCACCTAGGCCGGGCTTTAAACATGAGTGTTCTAATGAACAATACGGAAAGTACATGAAGCAAATTGCTCAGAAATGTAATTCGAATGATCTAAGGCTTTTCCTGCGAGTAGGATTCTTCAAAACATTTCTGAACGACCCGCCATCTGACATTCAACGGGAGAGATGGCTGTATTGGTTAGAGCAAGCCAAGCGATCTAACAACGCGGCAATCTTTCGAAAGGTCTTCAAGCTTTGCCCCCCAGAACACCACACCGATATCCTATTTGCAAAAGTGTTTAGGATGGTTGGAGTTATTGATGGTATCGGGGTGGAGGAGATCATGATATTGATAGATCATTTTAATCCAACAGCTATCACAGAATTTTGGCCAGAAACCCTCGATTCGCTTCGAATGGCGATGTCGCGCACTATTCAGAAGGATGCAGTTGACTTGATGGAATGTCTCCTGCGTTTCCATGACCTTGTTGTACAAAGTCAAGGCCCTGAAGACAACTTAGAGAGTGCCTCGAAATGGACAGTGCCTCAGACCAAGCTGCGTGTCCCAACCGGCTCTGGGATGCTCAAACTTCTTATCTGCCGCGGGTTCGACGTCAATTATGTGGGCTATAGCCCAGGTGGCCAAACAGTGCTTCAGCGAGCCATCCAACAGGTCCAGATTTATAACACAGGCATTGACGGCATAAAAGACTTGATACCAATGGTCAATAATATTAATGCGGTCGATCTCAGGGGTCGTACTGCTCTGCACCAGTGTGTGATCTTGTGCGCATGCCAACGAAAGACAAGCGTCGATAAGGTCGTGGAGATTGCCAAAATGTTGATCAACAACGGAGCTGACCTTTCGGCTCTTGACAATGATGGAAACACGCCACTTCACCTCGCTGCATCGAGTCGCTTTCTAAAACCATTTGTGAAACTCTTCCTTAGTCGAGCGCAGATATATTCATGAATGTCGAGAACAATCGTGGAGAAACACCGCTTTATTTTTTGGAAACATTGGAGCGTTATCCGAACATAGAAATGTGGGGAGGCAGCCTTTTGGATAGCGACCCCTTTTGGGGTCTCTCTCGAGATCAAATCAACAAGATGTTGGCTAGTTAATCAGACAGGTCTAAACAATCGCCTACTAGATACTATAGACCTCATTAAGTTAGTGAGATAGCTAGATTTTATCCTTACTTATTATTGAATTTGCTTCAATTAATCAAAGACTTGCTTTACTTTGTGAAATATAACTAAAGTCCCAGGCCCTCCCATTCTGGATCATAGGATGCGTGCTCCTCGGGTTTTCCCAATTGTGAAAGAAACCCATGTCCACCATGGAGATCCTCCGGTCGACTCTCAAAAGAGATCGGAGCTGTATTTGCAGATTCGATATTGCCGGCCAAGGCACAGGGCTTTGCAGGGTGGGTGGCTGAGCAGTGCGCCTGTTGTGGCTGTGCCGGCTGCATCCACGGCGAAGGATCAGCGATGTAATGGGCCAGGTTCTGGGAGGCCAACGCATAAGAACGGGCTGCTGTTGGCTGGGCAGGGGTGAGCCAATTCGAGATGCTCGTTTGCGATTGGCCATTCACTGTCTCGCAATGCAACGGCCTCTTCGCTGACTGCCTTTCGTCGCGCCTCATTCCACCGGGCATCCCATGACTCACCCGGGGAGCCTCATGTATAAATCCTCACTAATCCCCACCAACCTCAGGAATCAACTCAACAGACCCCAACTACACCAAATTTACTCTTAGTCTCGTTCACCAATTGCCCTCTATCACTTCTTATCACCTCTAGCAACGACATTAGTTTTGCTTGCCCCTTTTAGCATTGAAGCTATGGCTGATCTCATAGCGCGGGCCAGCTGCAGGACATTTTCGCTGCCATGGCGAGAGGCCTGCAGCCTTCCGCCTCCCCGAACAAGAACGACTTCCTCACGGGCCAAAAGGGAGAATGAGGCAAGCTCATTCTTTCCAATAGGTTCTGAACTTTCTTCCTAAGAATCGAGATGTTTGAAGTTCCCGCCAGCCGATGGGATCTCAAATTCTCCACAAAACGTCAATTCCTTTTGCTTTCATGTTCTTCTGTTTCTCTCCTCTGATTTATGATTTGGAAATCTGGTGTCTCAGCGCATTTCAGATGAAATCGACCAAAAAAAACTCAAAATGAACACAAGTCTGGGGAGAGCATTCGGTCAATCCAACATTGAACAATGCTGCCATGCCTTTGATCCGCATGATTTCTCTCACGCCAATCGCCTCCAGTCAATCCAACATTGACCCTGTTTTGCTTTTCGTCTGCATGATTTTGTTTTCGTTGGTTTTTTTCCTATCTTGGTTTATTCTCCTTTGCTTTTCATTTTCTTGCCCTGTTATCTTTGGCCTGCAATCGGCCTCCCATACTGGGATGCAGTCATGGATCAACGGACCTAGACAAGTCGGAAAAAGGTCTCCAACATCGAAACAGGACATTGAGTCCATTCATCGGATGTTCTCTCAGCGCTACAGAACTATACTCTCGATCAATTCAGCAACCTGCAGACAGTCTGCCAACAAATTGCCATTGCCTCCTATCCACCATGGATTGGGACAGATCTTATCACCAAAACTACCCGTTCGCGATGAACGGCAACTTTTCCACCGATCAAACATATCTTTTGGACAACTGCGATCCAACACACAATGGAAATTATGAGCAGCAAGGGGAAAGCCAATACTGGCAAAACTCAGCAATATATCCTCCTCCACATTCAACAACTACCGAGAGTGGATCGGAGGGATATTCCTTTGACTCTGGCTCAACCCCCTGTGCGCTCCCTTCAACAACAACATCGTCCCCGTACGCTCTACCCTGTCACGACTTTAATGACTTTGGAATATCGGGAACTGGCATTGACTTCACCGACGAGGAAATATGGGAATGGCTACAGTCAAACCCTTTAGACTCGATACCATCCTACAACCCCTCTCTATTTGAGAGCCAAGACACTACCCAAGCCTGTCCTGTCTCTCAAATGGAGCGCACTCTCCTACCGAAGCCAGAGGCTCCGGCCTCTCTTCAAGGGGTCAGTTCTCCAACTTCGGTCGAAGTCGTCAAGTTAGAGCCAAGGAGGCGAAGGAGGAAGAACCCTGCAGATCTTCGGTAGGTGCCAACATAAAACAACCAAAACTCTTCTCCTCATAAATCCAGACTAACATCTTCTATTTTTATAGGAAAAACCGTCGCAAGCAGGAGAAGCCAGAGAAGTGCACCGTATGTGGGAAGGGCCATGCGGATACCAGGGCGCTGGAACGTCACATCGTGTCTAATCATCGCGATGAAGCTATCCAGCTGGGCCTTGATGTATCCAAGGTGGACTGCCCTTATTGTGCTCAGACCTTTGATAAAATTCGGAAGGATAGATTGACTAGGCACGTCAAAACGCAACACCCCGATTTGTACCAATATCAATTTCAATTCAATTAATTACTTCATTATCCCGCAAGCCTCTATAAGTGAATTTACCTGGCACTTAGGCACCATCTGTTGTCCCTTCCAATATCAGGGTAAGAAGCGGCATTGATCTCTCAATTGCATGTCATTCATCATCACTGGATCCAGATCCAGATCCATCATCATCAGACCCGCTATCATCAGACTCCTCCGTCCACGTCGTGAACTGTTGACCATCGCATAATTGAACCCACCCATTGAGGTCCATTGTCTTCAGCACGGTGCTGAACCCTTGCGTGCCTTTGGCATTAGAGATCTTTTCTCTCGTCTTTGCGCGGACCGAGCCTGGGGCGCCCTTAGGGTACTCGATGTGAAATACAGGCTTGTTAGCCTTGATGAAGGCCTGGAATGTCTGGCCCTCGTTGTACTCGACACACTGCTCGTTCACCTGGAAGTCAACGACGTCGATGACTTCGGGTATGATTTCGCCCGCGTTCTTAAGCCCGATGCTCATGCCGTGTCTACGCGCCTCGTAGGACAGGAACTTGATGAAATCAATCGAATCTGCCTTGGTCAGGCCAAATCCGTTCTTGTGTGACTAGCGGGCATTGATTAGCTGCTTGGGAGGGGACAGAAAATAGTGAGAAAACATACGTAACCGTCGACATTGTCCGGGTCAATGGCGTCGCAGCCCTTTTCCGCGGCAAGCTGGATCCTCTTGGACATGATGGCGCGAACATTCCCGCTCCGCACATCAACCCATCTCTCATCCCAATCGTCCATGGGCTTGCCCAGGTCTGCCTTGCCGAACTGGCGCGAATCAGGGCGCCACTTCTCGTAAGTGCCGGCGCTGAAGTAGCCAATGACCTTCTTCCCCAGCCGATGAAGCTTGGCGATGGTCTCGGCGGAGTTGTCGAATACGTCAATGTCGTACACGTCGACATCGGGCTGGATGGACGGCTCCTCGCTCTCAGGACCGAATTTCAGCGGCGACTTGAGCACAATCTGCCATGATGCTCCGACGGCTGGCGTCCATGGCGCCCGAGAGCCGTGCATTTCGTCCGCGGAGTGATGAGCTGAGATGGGGTATGTAGATGATGAGAGCGTCTAGTTTGATGGACCGAAGGACAGAGCTGGAACAGTCTTATAACAAAAGGCACTTGATGCTCCGCCCCGCTCGCCAGTTCTAGATCGCAGCTGCGTATAGATTAGCACATACCAAGCCTTTGCTGTTCCCCGCACCGGCTCAAGGCCAAGTAATTGCTTCAATCAATGATTGGCCTCTGGCTCTCCAGGTACAAGAATGCTTACGACGCTGTGCCCATATTACTATGAGTCTGTGGCTGATCGGCCCGCATTTGATGGCTTCATTTCCCTCTAACACTTCGGCAGCATCCTCCAAAATGGACTATAAAATAACCGTCGCGGCAGTTCACGCAGCGCCCGTCTTCATGGACAAAGCGGCCACTACCGAGAAGGTCATCAAACTAATTGAACAAGCTGGCCGGGAGAACATCGAGCTGCTCGTCTTCCCCGAGACATTCATTCCTGGATATCCCGTAAGCCTAGACTCCCCATACCCTCGTTTGATCCTCCAGCCGCCCGGCACTATTCACACTTGTCCCACCGTCTAAACCTGAACAGTACTGGATCGAATGCTACCCGCCCTTGACCCAGGTCAGCTCCCTCGCCCTGTACGCCGATCAGAGCGTCGTGATCGAGGACGGCGATGAGATCAAGCAGATCCAGGCCGCCTGCCGCAGCGCAGGCACAGCCATCAGTCTCGGCATCTCCGAGAGGTCGTCCCAGGGCTACACGCTCTTCAATTCCCAGGTCAACATCGACGCCGACGGGACCCTGCTCGGCGTCCACCGCAAACTCCAGCCGACCTACGCCGAGCGTTTCGTCTGGGCCCAGGGAGGCGGCAACACTCTGCGCACATGCCGACCCAAAGCGTCGGGGAAGCCTTATAACCTTGGCGGCCTGTGCTGCTGGGAGCACACCATGAACGGCGCCCGGCAGGCACTCATCTCCCAGCGTCAACATATCCATGCTGGCGCATGGCCGGCGCTCTCAACCATGGCGGGGTTTACTGCGGTTGCCGATGCGCAGATCGAGGCGCTGATGAAGACACATGCGCTTACTGCCCAGGTCTTTGTCGTCACGGCGTCCAATTACGTCGATCAGAGCTGCCTGGACTGGATGGAGGAGAACCTGGGCAAGCAGGATTTCGTCAAGCTGGGTGGAGGCTGGTCGGCAGTCATCCACCCGTTTTGCTCTTTTCTCGCTGGTCCGCATACCGGGTCTGAGGAGAAGCTGATCACTTGCGAGGTGGACCTATCGCAGTTGGGACAGGTCAAGGTCTGGATTGATGGTGCGGGCCATTACAGCCGTCCGGAAGTGCTTCAGTTCAACGTAGATCAACGGCCATTGTGGGAGGACGTGAGCTGGGAGCTGTCGCAGCCTGAGCCTGCTGAAATCAAGAAGGAGAATCTAGCTCCCTAGATATTCTGCCATTTTCCCTCATTTATTCTTGAAGTTGGAAGATTGAAGACGCTTGCTTGATATGGTTCAACGGGGCGACCATACAGCTACTATTGGACGAGGTCACTTAGGCTATGGGTTTATGAGTGAAATGAAAATGGATTTTGCTTTCTGTTCTCCTCAAATACACTATCGTGAAGAAGCAATGCCAAAGGTCAAAAAAGCTACTAGAAATTCTCCAATCGATAGACTTCATATCCCGGCTCTTCGTAGGGATGGGCTCTGCCGAAAACGTCAATATAAAACCCAAAGGACAATATTAAGAGCTATGGGATATTGTTTACTTCTTCAATGCCTCAACGGCATTCTTTGCAACGTCCTCGCCAACGCACAGCGTCTCAACGCGAACTTCGGGGACCTTCTCGATTTCGCCCACCTTGCCGATATGGGGATTGGCCGAGTCTCCAGGGCGGAACTGGCCGACACCGTCGGTCTGCCATGCGCAATGGGTATATGCTCCTGGGCCCGGATAACGGCCAGCGCCGGCTGCGAAGATGGCCGCCTTGACAGCCTCCACGTTCTCCATGGGCACAAAGAAGACGAGCTTGAATTTGCTAGCCATTGTCGCCGCGCAGCAAGACTACTAGAGGCAGCTTGTTGTATTTCAACCCAGGGATTTGTTGAAAGGGACTGCTACTTGCCAGTGGGATTGATGTAGGATGGAGGTTTATGTTTGGGAAGAGGGGGTTTTGGTAGGTCGTATTGCTTGTTCTAGCTTATTAATACTGAATATAGCTTCAGTTTTTTTTTTCTATAATTGGATTATTCTCAGCAACTTAGGTCTAGCAATATATTATCAAAATACAATAAGAAAAAGAGCTATAAATTTATATAACATTAAATTAATCAATTTATTGAAAGATTTCAGACCGATACATCATGACCTCACCCCGCTCATTGCTGACATGATGTGACTTTGACAAGTTGTCTGCCTTACCCCTCTTTGTACTATACCTACCTTAGGCATAATATATGCAAATGGGTTTAATCCTCACCCTTCTGATGTATGTTCGAGACATGGGCACTCTTCGTCTACTCTGAGCACTTCCACATTACAACGTTCGTGCATTTCCTAAGCAGGGTTTCATCACCTAATGTCTTTTATTAGTCCACTGACTTCTCTTGATCCGGCTACGTAGCAACATCGACAGTGTTACGAAGTCCACAAGCAATTGGGAGAAAAGGGCAGAAGAATTCCAAATTACATGGCTGTGGAGGTACAACACCTCACTTCGACCAGTTCCTATATCCACACCAACTATATTCACAACGCCCAGGGGCTAAAGAAGGTCCAACAGCTATTATCATTCTACTTCTCAAGCTATGGCATCATACGAAGCTGAGAATAACATGAAACTCATGCCATGGGGACCCAGCTATGTGGATCAAGCGCAGGCAGTTCATAATCGCCAGGCTCATCAACCGCTCCTAAAGGGAGAAGAGGTGCCCAATTTTGACATTACGCGAAACAAGGAAAGGGGCTTCCTGCACCCGGCCATTTATTCCCGGAAGCAAATCAGAGTCCTAAAGATTCTCCCTGAAGCTACTACAGCAAGTTTAGTCTGTGAATTTGATATTGTCGACTTTGATGACGCGAGCACCAACAACTACTTCGCCCTATCATATACATGGGGAATCGCCCCAGGGGCCGATGACGTTCATGACATACTCATCATCGACGGTTCAGAGCAGAAAGTGCCATTTTGCGTCCGACGAAATGTTTGGGAGTTCTTGACAAGCGAAATTGTGCAAAAGAAACTCAACGGTCGTCCCATTTACATCGATGCTGTATGCATTAACCAATTGGACAATGATGAAAAAGGTCACCAGATCCAACTAATGCAGTTCGTTTACTCTCAGGCTCTTGAAGTCATCATCTGGCTGGGATCATCTATAGTCAGTGCCAAAGATGATTTAAACCTGCGGAGTTTGCAGGAGCATGGTGACTGGGTCTGGGCAGAAAAGGGGGCCGTTACAGCAGGAGCAGGGATAGGAGGCAATGGCGATAGCCCTGCGGACAAGCAGAAACTCGCGGTCGAATTCATCAGCTCGCAACCGTACTGGAGTCGAACTTGGATTATACAGGAGATTATGCTTGCCTCGGATATCAGCATAATTGTGGGCAACTATATATTTCCTTGGTCACAGGTCGCCAAGTTAGGGCCGCAATCGATCCAGTCGTCGTTATGGCACAAGGATTCTCACGGGCTTCCGTTGATGAATATGACATTCGTCGAGGGCCAAATGCGCTTTGGCCAAAGGTCTGCAATGTTCGGCTTACTTGAACGCAAGACCAAGTGGGACTCTGAGCTCGCATCGAATACAGACAAAGGGAAAAGCAAAACTTATTTCGTGCCCTGTTACGTTGCCTTCGGGACATTTGCAGAGCACGCTTGTTCGGATCCACGAGACAAGTTCTACGCCATGCTCGGCATTGTGGAGGAAGACATCCGTCAAGATACAGTTCCAGATTATCGTCTTGAAATCACCGAGGTTTACGAAGTTGCTCTTACCGCTAGCTTCCGCTCAATCAAGGCACATTTGCGGGAGTCGTTGAAGATGCGGCTAGAAGCCTTCGGCATCCTAGCAGCACACTTACACGAAGCGTTCGGTCTGAAAGAAGTAGACATCTGTGATGTCAGAGCTGCCGTTCTGGCAGAGCCTTCCATCTTTATGGATCTCCAATCTGATCTCAATGAAGCCCGCCTCCTTGAGGATGAGACTGGTCTCAAATACAGGCACGCGCAAGCCTGTCGGTCCAACCATGCACCCAATCACTGCGAACCCCATTGTCTCTTGACCGGGCTTATACAAGCTTCAGGCGATTCATCTTCATCTGCCTTGGTAGATAAAGAGTCTGAAAAGTCGCAGGCCCCTGTTTCAAACCTCTCTTTAGCCATCCACATTCGAGGTACAGCCTCAGGCGGCGGACCATTGGACTACCAAGGCTTTGAATACGGCCAATGGAGTGGCCGAAGCTCACTTCGCAGCATCCAGAATCTTGGTATGCGACCAGAAGTGCCCACAGAGACGAGCGATCCGACGAAGTATAGGCAATGCATGTTCTATACGGATAGGGAGAGGGCGGACGGCGACATGTACTGGATGGTTGATAGTCCACATGGGAGCTACACGGCCCCGATACACATACGTCGAAAGACAGACGGTAGCGAAGGTTGGACAGTCTCTTACGAAGACGCCATCCCCAAACCTCACCACGCAACCTGCGATCGTTGCGAAAAAACCATCGTAGCCATGAGATATCGATGCCTGCAGTGCCTGGACTTTGAATTATGCTCGCCGTGCATGAAAGAAGCTGGCCAATCTGAAGACGAACACGTTGACCAGCACCACTTCGAGATAATCTACCATCCGGCTTCCAGCATCAGCCACACCACAAATCCGCCGAGATACCTCGCGCTCAACTTCCGGAGGGTGCCCTACCGGATGCACCCTGGCGTCTTCGACTCGTACCTACGCGACCCAGACCCGAGCGCGGAGGTGAAAAACTGCCTTGCGTGCGGTATAATGTTCCCGTGGAGTCCCCGCGCGGGCGTATGGCCGCCGTACTGGGTTGCCAACTTGAACATCATGACGTGGACTCCAGCCGACGAGGGCGTGCCGCATATTCGTTGCATGGGGCTGCGTCTGCGCGATTCTGACCCGACTGATCGTCCTCCTACTCCTATGCCTGGAGGATACAGATTCTTCGGGCAGATACAGCTATGCGCTATTCGCCAGCAACTCGCGCAATGGGCATCTTCCTTTTCGCCACCGGTCGAACTCACCCCCGATGTGAATCTGACTGAGCTCGTGGACAGACGTCGCAAAGAGCGAGAGGCCAGGGGCGACGAGAGTGTACGCGGAGGAGGAGAGATTGTCCTTTTACTCGCCTTCCCACCAATGCCTCGGGCGGATGGGGTGGAAAGTGACGATATCGTCGAGGAGGATGGAGTCTGGGCCCTCAGTCTGCCACGAAGCTGTCGTCCCGGCGAGGACGAGGACGAGGTGCCTACCGCTCCGGCTATGCATTTCTGGACCGCGGATGATTTTGATGATGCCACTATAGCGAAAATGAAGGCACAGGCCGGTCGACAGCTGAAACTTCTTCCCACTAAAGCTGATGCCCCTATGGCGGAACGGCAATGGGTGACGTTTCGTTGGTAAATTATAGCTCGAGGTAGCATTTTAAGTGGCATGACGTTAATAGATTGCAATTCGAAGAGGGCTCCTGTCGAAGCCCGTCAAGTGGGTGACAAGAGAAATGAGACACCTAATGGAATAGAGGTTATACAGACTACTTTCTAAGATGAAATTCAAGAGTATAAAATAAAATAAAGGACAATATATACTGTATTATCTCCGAAGCATATATTATTAGCACTCAATAATCTGATAAAACGGTCGCTGACTTGAAAATAAGCAGCTTAATGTTTTAAATGTCTCGTTTTCAATGTCACCCACTTACTCGTGTATAAAAACTTAGACGTTAACTTTCTAATTTTCGTTCAAGCTTATCAAACTGTAGGAATCGTATCCTATAGTCCTCGAAATCAGCTTCTTATTGTATCAGTATAAGAGTGTTAGGAAGCCTATCACAATGGCTAAACATTACCTCACATATTCGGGTGATTCTTGGCCAAAAAGTAACAGAAAAAGGCACATGTCGACCTTGTCGTTGAATCAAAGGTCGCTTTCACCGACCATGGGCTCGATCTCTCGTAAGTATTTAGCAACTTTGACTAATGCAATGGGTAGACATGTGCCTTTCGTATAGTTGATACAAGTTGGGATAACTGCAATATTATCACTACAATGAATATTGATACCCGAGTTTGTTAAGACAAGCGGGAAAATTGCGTCGACTGATGGCGTTAGAGGGTGAAAAGCTTGAGGAGGTGGCTCGAGGCGCTTCCCAGAATACATGTTGACGTATGCCATTCCCTTCTCATTGATAAAGATATTATGAAGCCACTGCTTTGCCTCGTTAATCAGGTGGAGAGTCTCTGGGGAGTCTCTCTTGGCTCCCACTAGCTTTAAATCCTCCTGGATGAGAAATTTGAGTTTGAAGAAACAGTTTCTTTCTGCGTTATTCGTAATGTCTAGATGGCCTTTAAGGATACATCTCGGGCACGATCGAAGGCCTCTGAAACTCAATTGGAGCATGCAGCATAAAACTCTCTTTCCACATCCACCGCATGGATGAGTTGTGTTTGGTGATTCGTGTTTGGCTCCAATGCAATGGCAAGATGCTAGTGAGGGTTCGCCAGATAGAATCCTTTTGTTAATTTCATCGGCTATAATACCAAGAATCTCCTACGTCTTGATAAGATCGCTAGTTTGCATCCACGTCGATATTGCTTTGTCCATGACAAGATCCACCCAGGAACGATCCATAGAGTAGATTTGAACGAATGGTAGGGATTGTCCTGATATATGCTCGCATATTTTTGGTGAAGGGTGAAGCTGGGTTAAAAGGATCTGTGCATTAGTGAGAATAAGGCAACTGCCATCGTATACCCGTAATTCTTCATGGTATTGGTCGATAAAGCCTCTGTACCAAGCATTCAATTGTGCTTTAGTAGATAAAGGTGATTTCCGTGCCCATGTGCCCCGGCAAAGTCGCGCAAGTCGTTGGGCGCGGTCAAATCCTTCTCTTGAGGCATCATCCGCCTCAGATACACCACGCTTCAGGATAAAGGGGAATTCTCCATTCTCATTAGGTCCATCCCATGTAATACCTTGGTTGAATGTGAAGAGTGTACTCTCAACTTCATCGCATTCTTCCTTGATAGCTTTAGGTGTAATAGTGACTTCGGTAGTAGCTACTTTAAGAGTATCTCGGTCGATGAAGGGAAGTCTTATGAGAATACTCAAGAACACTTGCTTCCCAATAGTATATCCACCACATAACATAGGCTTCTCTGGTAGGACACTCTGTTGAGCAGTGGAAAAGAGGATTGTGGCCAGGGTGGTGTTTCGGTTCGGATTCCCGAATAGCTCATTAAGCGTCGGCCACCTCACTACTGCATCCATCATCTTGGAAAGGATAAGGGTAATCTCGTGGCGGCTGAATAATTCCCTCTGAATGCGAAACAATGTCCGCCTAACGCCTTTTATTGTTACTCCAAGATCCCATAATGTCCGATTGCCTCGTTGTGTATGGGCTGCAAGAACTTGAGCCTTGAACTCGAGACGCTCTGGATGGACAACGAGCTTCTCATGCGAATAGACAAACGCAAATGGGTCCTCGTCATTGTCGTCAAGTGCAGCGAATCGCTTTGGGGCTTTTATATGTTTCTCGACCACAACATCTGGCAGAGTTCGGGCCATCAATCCTTGATAGTCAGAGCCCCCTCTATGTCGCTGGATAATTTCTTCTCCGTCGTCATTAATCCACATGAAAGCATTATCGAGAATCTCCGAATCGACAGGACGAGTAACTCGAGATCCGATGGTTTTGGTGCCTCGTTTGATTGCTTGATAAATTAGTATTTGATATCAGATTGGTTTCATAGCTGGCACCAACCTTTAATAACCTTGCCAGCACTCTCATCGATTGTGATATTTTCTTCGTCGCATGGTTCGAATTCCTCTGTTCCATTAATATCCGCGAATGTTCTCTTCCGACTTCTTGGCTTTATACCAGACGTAGGTCGTGATTCGCCAGTCAATGGCTGGCGATCGAATGGGGATCGGTTGGTGACATCTTGGAGTGCGATTCTCGTGCTACTTCGCAGTTTGCGATTATCTAAATAATTTAACTAGCAATGATAAACTTCATCCACTCATGAGTACTAAATTACTTTTCTGGTCCGGCTCTATTTTGGATGTAACTGTCGAATCGGGCAGAGTTGGCATAGGTGCGGGTGGGACAGGACGAAAGTAAGATGTTATCGCGTTCTAAGGAGCGACAGGAACAGCAGGCTTAGATACCTTGCTCTTTCTCTTCTTCCCTTGACGGGATCTATACCCAGCCATAGTTGAATTGATATGTCGATGATGGGAAATTAATCCGGTCTGCTGAGGCAAAATAGGAAATGGGTCGATTTAGTCTGTCGAGGAAGGTGGTAGATGAGTCGACCCGGTCTATTGAGGAAGGCACGCCCATATATCCTCCTTCCTCGTTGCGGCTTTGACATATTGAGCGCCCATTGCCTACCTAAGTAAGTTGGCCATTCAATCGAACTGACCAGACACCACTGGTGACACCTATCGAGGTTTTTGCGCGATGAGTCGAATTCACCCATAGTATTTTAAGGGACTGGCAAGTGGGTGGAATGAAACGTGGCATACCAAAGCTCTTTCCGTGTAATGCAGGGACCTCGTTCTTGAAATAAACACAATAATAAGAGAATAATCAGAGAGTAATAAACTATTCTATAGTATTTGGGTTGATATTGTATTCAATACTAGGCTATTTATTGTGTGTTGTGTTGAAATATCTCGATGTGCCTTGTTTTATTTCACCCACTTGACCGGGTCAGTCGACTTGGCGGGATTGATCTGATAAATCTCGGTGCGGTTGGCGCGTATAGCATGTGTAATGGTTATGAAAGTTTAGAAATGTCTCAGAACCGATGTGCAACTGCCTAGTACTTCACATTATACTCTTCAGCTTATTAGACAACTCTCAATGTACTATTTCTTATAGAGCATTCTACTTCTATGGTTCGGGTATCTAGAGATTCTATGAAACCACCAAGCTAACCATGCCCTACACAAACCCCCTAAGCGATAAAAGACTATAAGGAAATCCTTCTCGACTTTGGAAAACGTCCTGCCCTCCAATTTAGTTGGAGTCGGAGGTGTTTCCGGCCTTCTCGATGATGGGGGGAGGCTTGGGGATGTTCTTGCGGAAGATGTGGCGCTTGATGAAGTATGGGAGCCACACCTTGGTCTCGTAGGAGATGAAATCCTTGGTTGGGACGGAGAAGACCTCTGTTTTGGTTTGTTAGTCTTTTGGAAGAAGGACAGTTTGTGTGGGGATGTGTGTTACTTACGGTCCAACTCTTCCAGAGTCAGCTGCTTGGTCTCACGAACGAAGCAGAAGATCATGAACCAAGCTATCAAATTGAGCCCTGCATAGAATCCGACTGCAATGCTGGTCAGAGGGTGCCTCGTTTGATCAGAAAGCTGTACTTACAAGCTCCGGTAGGAGTCATGGCCTTTCGCATAGGGGGGAATGTAAGACTGAGGACACCGGCGAAAGTGTTGTCTATTGAAGGTTAGTAAAGAGTCATCAACGAATGGAAAATAGAAATACTCACTGATGCACACAGCCCAGGCCATGCCCTGCTCACGCTGAATGGTTGGGAAAACCTCCGCAGAGTACTGGAAGGCGACGGGCCCCTCACCGAGGGAGTAGCAGATGGTAAAGAGGTAGATGAACCTAGTGGATGCCGGTTAGCGCTCTGTTCCGATCATGGGCCATGCGAAGTAAGCTTACAGGACAACGGGTGCGAGCTGCTCAGCACGGGAACCGTCTTTCTTCAGGAGAGAAAGACCAGCAGCAAGCAGGAAGATGCACATTCCAGGGAAGGTCTGTAGGCCGGTATATTAGAAACCTCACTCGTATATTGGGGCTAGGTTGGGGACACTTACAGCCAGAGTCAGTGTTCGTCGACCCTTGGTATCAATCAGGAACAGAGTAGGAATGGTCGATACGACCTGGATAGCACCATAACCCAAAGAGGCGTACAAAGCTTCGGTAGGCAGGTAACCAGCCTCCTCAAAGATGGTTGAACTGTAGAAAGAGATGACTACCAAGCGTGTCAGTATTCAGTGTTCCAAGCCATCGGCAATAACCAATTCATATAGGGACGAGACATACTGTTGATTCCGCACATCTGCTGGGCAAGCATGACAGTGGAAGCACCGTAGTTTGCGCGCCTGATTCGGGGAATGCGGAAGCAGTCCCACATGCGGGAGAAGTAGCCAGCACCGGCGGCCTCCTTCAGCTCCTCCTCATAGATGACGTGGGAGTAGTAGTAGTCGCGGGCGGCGATGATGGGGTGGGCGCGGAGGCGGTTCATGGACTCGAAGCCCTTGGCGATCTTCCCGTGCTTCATGAGCCAACGGGGCGACTCGGGGCAGAAGAAGATGCCGGCGCCGAGGACGAAGGAGGGGATGAAGGCGGATCCCAGCTGGAGACGCCATGCGATGTCGCCGGTGTCCTTGACGATGACGTTGGCGCAGAAACCGAGGAAGATGCCTACAAGAATATACTCGTTAGAACTGAAGTGGTTTAGATATTATCGAAGGGCATCAGAACGTACCAGCAACGACCCAGAGCTGCCAGAACATGACCAGAGCACCACGGACACGGGCAGGGGCCATCTCAGCACTGTAGATGGGGACAGTGGCGTTCTTCGCGCCGATACCGATGCCCATGACGAATCGAGCGGCGAAGAGCTCCTGCCATGACCTTGCGAAACCAGAGCCGATAGGTGTGGCAGTGAGGCAGAGAGCAGTGACGAAGATTTCACCTCGTCGGCCGAGGTAGTGGTTGAGAGGATCGACGATGAAGGCACCGCTGCATGTCTAAGTCAGCACAAGATCAATTGAGCCGGGTTGAATAAGCTTACATGAGACCAGCAGTCAAGAAAATGATGGCGTTGACGAGACCGACAATCCACTCATCATACTCGGAGCCGGTGTCGAGGCCGAACTCCTTGGGGAAGGACAGGTTGGCACCGTTGGATCCGGTCTGGTCCCATCCCTGAGTGGCAGCACCAACGGCACAGAGACCAATTGAGTACCACAGCATCTTGGGGCCATGCCACTTGTGGTCCTTTTCGTACTGGAGGGCGGCAAGCTCCTCCTCGTTGAGCTCGGCAACGGAGGCGAAGGCGTCCAGGTCGCGAGCTACGAGGGCAGCTTTGCCAAAGAGCTCGGCCTTGTCGGGCATCCCGTGCTGCTCAGCGAACGTCTTTGCATCGAGAATGTTCTGCTCCTTGGAGACACGCTGTGGGCGGCAAGAGTGGTCAGTACTGATGGAAGATGCGTCGCAGAGCACCCAATGGCGCAGCAGCCAAACGATATCGAGCCATTGGACGATATTGAAGGGCAATTGGGGGCATTGGGCTATTCCAAGCTCACCTTCAGGGGGTTCTCGACCAGGTTGAGGGCCGTAGACTGGCGGCGATGGGCAGGCTCAGCCGTGTCCAGCACCTCCTTGTCAACGACGTGCTTCTCCTCATGGGAGACCTCTTGGGCAACGCCCTCCTTGGTCTCGTCCTTGGACATGTTGATTGAAAGAGAAATTCAGACTCAAGAAGGAGATTGGGGGGGAGAATCTGTGTGTGACGAGGCTGGAGAGACAGAGCAGAGCAACCGAGCACGACCGACTTACACCGGGGGAGCTTATATACATACTACGCTCGTCCCCAGAAGGAGAAACCCAATCCCCACCGCCAATCCCCGGTATCCCCAAGGCTGGCCTGAGCCCACCGTTCTGGGGTAAGTATTTTTTTCCTGCTAGGCCGGCCCTCGCTCGAACCGTCTCGTGGTGTGATGATCGAGGGTGGTGGGGGAGGGATTGTTTGTCTGCTTGCTCTTACACATCCTGGTCGCGTGCGGCATCATCAAACCCACTCTCTTGCCTCTGGATCCTTCCGACATTCTGGGGCCAGGGAGGAAGAAGCGACAGAGGTCGGCTCCTAGCTCTCCTTAGACGCCCAGCTAGCCCACAAGGGAAAAGAGAGTCGAGCATGCTTTTGGGCTGGGACGGGACGTGCGGTAGGTACACAGCATGCAGTGTGACAAGATGTAAAACACTGTCAGTTTTGCCGGCGCGGTCAGCCGCAAGCCAGATCTACTCAGTAAGAAGACGCTAATTAGGCCGTCCACAGACAGACGAGCAAAAGGAATACAGTATAAGATAGGTACATAGATACATGGTACATCCCAGCGCTGATTCATCGATGCAGCAAACACACAGACCAGAGAGACCCCACGGACACCAGGAAGAGAACAGAAAATGGGGACACGAAGGCCCGTTTCTCGGACAAGCCGTTTCGACTTTTCGCAACGGCGTCCCCATCATGGCTTCTCGCGACAAGCTGACGAGTGAATTAATGCAGACGGAGATTTCAAATCAAAGCGTTCAAGAAGCCATCGAGGGCCAAACCAGCCAGCCATGCTGCGATTAATTTGGCTGCCTAAAAGAAGTGCCATCGACGGTGGAGCCCGTGTGTATTTCCTGTGCCGTCTTTGCCGAGTTGATGTAGCATGATCTTCATCGAGAGCCAAACCCAAAAGCCTGTATGGCCAGGCTCGATGACTAACGGCAGCTGGCCCTGGTCCCTGTCTCTGGCCGTCCCCGTCCGTCTCCAACATCTTGGCTGATGGATGGTGGAGTCCCCACGCTCGGAAGCTTGCAGGGTCAAAGCACATTACGATGCTTGCTGTACAATACCTGCTGGGCGTAGATGCGAATTGGCCGTCTGATCCAGATGAGCAGGATGCCCGAGAAGAGAGGAAGAACACAGCCGTGGCACGTTCGGTCATAAGCATGGCGAGGGTGGCCTCCTCTCCCGTGCATAAACTGCCGAAGACGCCCAATTCGCCGTCACACCCAAATGTTTAATTCCCACTCTATCTGCCCACTGCCGCCCATGATTGGTGAAGGATTATGCCCCGTACGTCACACTTGGAGTAACCCGACATGGGGTCGACTTCTGAGGGGGAACTGGGGGGTTGACTGACAGCCAGCCAGCATCATCAGTCGGAGCTGTCCAACAATTGACATTCCCGTTCCCATCTTTCATGGCCAGGTGGCAGCTTCACACCCTTCCGGCGCGCAACAGGAGAGATATGCAGTGGTAGAGTGGTAGATGGGCCTGGGTGCAGTGGGAGCA